TATGTTTTGCAACTGGGAAAATGTTTCCTATGGTATTTTTTACACCTGTATTTTGTATTTTTGTATGCACCTGTATTTTGTAATTTTGTATGTTTTGCAAATATTAAACCAGTTGTACAGGTAATGCAGTGTTTTACTTAAACCTGACGAATGTAAAAATAAGAAACAAAATGGTGTAGAGATGATACAAATGGCATAAAATGAACAAAGAAAATTATGATAAACTATGACTTAAAGATTTTTATAACATCATTTCACAGTACTGTACATATAGCCTACTCAACTTACGACCAAATCGTGTTACGACTGGTCTGTCGGAGCCAATCGTGGTCGTAAGTCGAGCACTAGCTGTAGTTGGGACTACAGGTGTGTGCCATCACTCTCAGCTAATTTTTTGTGTTTTTAGTAGAGACGGGGTTAGCCAGGATGGTCTTGAAATCCTGACCTCATGATCCACCTGCCTTGGCCTCCCAAAGTGCTGGGATTACAGGTGTGAGCCACCACGCCTGGCCTCTCACCACATTCCCTCTGGCAGCAGTGCCAGGACCTGCCAGCAGGGTCTGTGGCATAGCAAGCCTCTGGCCAGGAAGAAGTGCATCTCTGCCTCCTGCAGCCTTCCCCAGCTCTGGGGGATTCTCCTGGGGTAATATCTCCTCTCGTCTTTGGGGTGGGGGCAAAGGCTCCCGCTGCAGACCTCGTCTTCCCCATAAGGCTGAGGATGCTGAAAACACCTTACCTTTAGGGAGAACAGCTCCACTCCAAGGAGACCAGATGTGTTCATGGAAGGGTGTGTAACAAATACCCCAGGGGACACAGGATATGTCAAAGAATTGGCACCGGAGAGCATCTGAGAAGAAACCGTCACCTGCGACCAGAGCTGGCTTCAAAGGGCAGGTGTGCTCGGCTGAAGTGCGGATTGGTGGCGTGTCTGGGAGCTGAGCTGGGCAGAATGGCCAGAGCAGGGGTCTGTGTGGGGACAAATGAAACAGGAGGTCAGAGCAACAGGGCCAGGAGAGCTAAAGGTGATTTGTTGAGTTTTGGTTTTTCCTAATGAAGCAGAAATGGAAAATGAGAGGGAAAGCAATCATGTGGACTTTATCCTGCAGGTCAGGCAGGCAGCCTGGAGAAGACCTGCCAGGTGCACGGCTGGCTGGCTTGTTTCTGACATCACCTGTGGTCAGCAGTGCCACCAAGAGCCACCACCAGGGGGCAGAGGTGGGGCCATGGAGTAGACACCTCTCGTTTTCACCTGCCCAGGACACCTTCCCAAATCTTCTGTACCTTCACCCCTGCTTTTGAGAAATGGCCCTCTCCCACTGCAACTGGTACTGGCGGGGAACACAGACACACACACACACACACACACACACACACACACACACACACACTGGAAGCTCCTTTCCTGGGGGACCCTGGCTTCTGCTCAAAAAAAAAAAAAAAAAAAAAACCAGGTGAGCCCAATGCCTGCCCAAAGCCACTTGTGTTGTTTACAAACTTGTTTATTCCAGTTAAGCTAATTATACAATTATTTCATTCTTATGTAGACTAACGAAATAGGGTAAAACAAAATTTTGAATTGCGGCTCCTGCTTCAAAACAAAATTTAAAGTTGAATATTTTGGAGTTAATAAAGCTAAAGTTACGTATTGTTGAATGTAAGACAACTCATGAAGGAGGTGTAGTCGTAAAAATCCAAATTTTCACTCGTGTTACTTTATAGGTGTCTTTAAGACATCCGGACAAAGAGAAATTCAAGCTGAAAATTAAAGGTTTCACTTCATGTCAAAAAGTTGGTGAATGAAGGCCACATACAGTGATTCACACCTGTAATCCCAGCACTTTGGGAGGCTGAGGTGGGAGAATTCACGTGAGATTCAGAGTTTGAGACCAGCCTGGGCAGCAGAGGGAGAACCTCTGCTTTTTTTTTTTTTTTTTTTTTTTTTGCTACAAAAAATAAAAATTAAAAAAATTAGTTGGGTGTGGTGGTGCACACCTGTAGTCCCAGCTACTCAGGAGGCTGAGGAGAGAGGATCCCTCGAGCCCAGGAGGTCAAGGCTCCAGCAAGCTACGATTCTACCACTGCACTCCCGCCTGGGTGACAGAGTGAGGCCCTGTCTCAAAAAAAAAATTAAAAAAAGAAAAAATATTTATTGTGAGAAAATATACATAACATAAAACTTAGCATTTTAACTATTTTTGAATGTACAGTCTGTGGCATTAACTACATTCACAATGTTGTGCAACCATCACCATTTCCAAAACTTCATCATCTCAGAAACTCTGTAACCATTAAGCAATAATGCCTCATTCTTCACTTCCACTTCTGCCAGGCCCAGGCCCAGTAACTTTTTTTTTGAGACAGACTCTTGCTCTGTTGCCCAGGCTGGAGTGCAGTAGTGCAAATCTCAGCTCACTCCAACCTCTGCCTCCTGGGTTCAAGCGATTCTTTTGCCTCAGCCTGCTGGGTAGCTGGGACTACAGGTTATGTTACCATGCCCAGCTAATTTTGTATTTTTAGTAGAGAAGGGGTTTCTCCATGTTAGTCAGGCTGGTCTCAAAATCCTGACCTCAGGTGATCTGCCACCTTGGCCTTCCAAAGTGTTAGGATTACAGGTGTGACCCACAAGGCCCAGCCTCGGTGGCACGATCTTGGCTCACTGCAACCTCTGCCTTCCAGATTCAAGCAATTCTTCTGCCTCAGCCTCGCAAGTAGCTGGGATTACAGGCACAGGCCACCACACCTGGCTAATTTTGTATTTTTAGTAGAGATGGGGTTTCACCACGTTGGTCAGGCTGGTTTCGAACTCCTGACCCCGAGTGATCCACCTACCTCAGCCTCCCAAAGTGCTGGGATTACAGGCATGAGCCACTGCACCCGCCTTTTTAAAAAATGGTTATTCATTGATGATATGTTAAACAAAGGGTGGATTATTTATGCCTCCCCTTTTTAGGCCCTGTAGGATAACTTCCTGACGTCACCATGGCACTCGTAAATGGTCATGGCTCTGGTGGGAATGTAGCAGTGAGGACAACCAGAGGTTACTCTCATGGCCATCTTGGTTTGGGTGGGTTTTGGCCGGCTTCTTTACTGCAGCCTGTTCCATCAATAAGGTCTTTAGGGCCTATGTGACCTAGGAATGCAGCCCAGCAGGTGTCAGCCTTATTTGACATAGCCCTTATTCAAGATGGAGTTGCTCTGGTTCAAACGCCTCCGACACAAGGTCCAGCAATTCTTCCTCGGTTGTCAGATTAGACTCAGAGCAAGATTCCTGTTCGTTGCTTTGTGCGTCCACAGGGACACTGAACTGTCTGGAACGTACCAGGACTTTTGGAGGAACAGGCTTTCCAGCGGTGTCCCAATAGGCCAGGTAGGGCTGCATCTTCACGTAACCCCTCTCCTCTTAAGCTTCTCCTTCCTTCCACTTGGGGTGGTGGAAAGGGCATTGGGTTTGGAGCAGAAATGACTTAGGTGTGAACCCAGCTCTGCCACTTCCTGGCCGGCTGTGCTTGGGAAAGTAACCAAGCATCTCCGGAGAGCCCATTTTCTCATCTGCAAGACAGGAGTGTTCTTTGCACTTAATTCAGAGGATTGCATGAGGAGTAGAGCGATAATGCTTTCAAGAAATGGGATGTTCCTTCTGCTTCCCTCGCTCCAGGGCCCTCCCCTCTGTCCCAGGCTATTAGTCCCCATTAACCACCTCGCGCGGCCTGCGACCCCTTTAAATCCGCCTTGGATGACCCAGATCCAAATTTAGGGTGACCCTCTAGCTGCTATCTCTATGGTAAGTTCTCACTTCCGGCCGGAAGTTGCTGGCGGAGCCACTTCCGTCCAGGGGAGTGGGGAGCAACTGGAGACACGTGCTTTGTCCTGTTGGAGGCGAAACCCACTCTCGCCTCCTGGTGGTCGCCGACTCGCGGACCTGAGGATGACGCAGGGCACCCCTGACCACAGATCCGCCGCCACCGGCCCCAGACTGCGGAGTTGGGCCCGTCCCGGGACGATAACGGAGCTCTGCCAGGGACTGGAGGCACTGACCGGGTGACTAGAGACCAGAGCCCCCCCGAGTCGGCTCCCGGCGCTTCAGGGACCGCTCGTCCCATCGCAACTGGAGCTTGGACGGGAGGAGACAAAAGGGAACTTGGCCCGCACACAGCCACCGAAATTGGAGTGAGGAGCTGTAGGGAGGCCCCATAGCCAGCAGAAAAGCACTGGGATCCCTGGCAGGGTTAGCCCGGGTTTCTAGGAGTGTGGTGAGCATCTAATGACTGTTGTCCTTTTAAAAAGCACATTATGTTACTTTTTCCCCAAGGTTTCAACAGAAAATGAGAAATATACACGGACTATTGGCTGAGGCCCTAGCAACCACTATTTTCTTCCTGCTCCTCGTTGATTAGAGCATTCGAAGGAACCTCAGCCAGGGATCCAGGTATGTCACGCATGGAGACAATGTGTTCAAGGCACATGGTCTGGGGAAAGGCTCCTGTGTTGTTGAACCTGCCCACTTGTGGGTGCAGCATTGTACCAGGCAGCCCAACCCTGACCTAAAGTAAATTCCCAGAAGTCTTTCCTGGGTTTTGAATTTGCAGTAACAGGTGTGAGCATTCTAGCAGCAGTTTGATGATCATGTATGATACTGCAAACAGGACCTACATTTAAAGAGAATGGTTGTAGATACTATCAGAGATCACTTGGTTTTCAAAACTTCATAAACAATGATGCTGTCATGTCTTTCACTCAATAAACATTTGTTGATACATTGGCCTGACATCATGTTGATGTTAGGGATATAGAGATGAAGCAAACAGTCATGGCCGTTGTTCTCAGGCAGCTACAGCCCAGTTAGGGAGACAAGGTTAAATGATCACACTTAAGAGGGCATAATTCAGGCCAGGTGCTGTGGCTCACGCCTGTAATCCCAACACTTTGGAAGGCCGAGGCCGGCGGATCACCAGATGTCAGGAGTTTGAGACCTCCCTGGCCAACATGGTGAAACCCCTTCTCTACTAAAAATAGAAAAATTAGCCAAATGCAGTAGCACATTCCTGTAATCCCAGCTACTTAGGTGACTGAGCCAGGAGCTTGAACCTCCCCCTCCCGGGTTCAAGCAATTTTCCTGTGTCAGCCTCCCAGGTGGCTGGTATCACAGGCACATTCCACCATGCCTAGCTAATTTTTGTATTTTTAATAGAGACAGGATTTCACCATGTTGGCCAGGCTGGTCTTGAACTCCTGACTTGAGGTGATCGCCCGCCTTGGCCTCCCAAAGTCCTGGGATTACAGGCCTGAGCTACCACACCAAGCCTGTTTATGAAATGTAATATTGATTTTCTCAGCTGGAGTTTAGCCTGCTCCTCCATGAAGCAGCATCTTCCTTTTGTCTTTGTCTGTTTTTTGTCAGCACACAGATTGAGAAGTAGCATCGTCAGCACAATTACGTACCTACAGGGGTCAGAACACTGAGTCATATGTCTTGGAGGGAGTATAAAGAAAAGTATGGTCTCTGGTGTTAGGGGCTTAGAATCTGTCGATGTCAGTAAGCGCTGTGGAACAACAGGAAGGAACATTTTCTGTTGGACCCTTCAGGGATGGGACCCTGTCAGGGAAGTGAAGGTGGTTTCCAGCTGCTGAAACGTGACAAAAGGCAGGAAGCATGGAAGTGCTTGGGAGGATGTGGGGAGCTCCCTGGTGAGAGCTGTACTGGGTAGTATGTGGCTGGAGGGAAGGGAGGAAGAGTAAAATTGGAATATGTAGATTGGTGCTGGGTGGTAGGGGCCGTGAATGTCAAAGTTCAAGTGATTTTTTTAACAAGCAGGTTTCTGAAGGTGACATGGTGGTCTAGAGGTGACAGCCTGGAGAAAGATGGGTCAGGAGGTCCCTGTGATGTCTGAGTAGGAGGTGAGCAGCCCTTGGCCCAGCGGTACCTGTAAACCTGGAAGAATGAGGGGTGGGTGGGGCCAGTCCCTGCAGGGCAGAATCCTGAGGTGCCTCCCATGGCATGTTCTAGGTGGACGGTGGATTTTAGAAAGGATTTCGTGGTGCTCACAGTTTTAAATATTCAGTCTTGGTAAAGTAGAATAAGAACTGACACATACACTTTTCTTTGCAGGTCGGTTTCCTGAAAGATTTGCCTGTGTACTGGGTGAAAATCTGGTTTTGGCTCTGCTGGGTCTGTGTGCCTGGAAAGGAATTGTTTCAGCCTAGGATTGTCCAGGTTGGTTTGGTTTAACCACGTATTTTTTGAATGGTGACTGCTAAGACCTTGTTGTGTATGGTTATAAATAGATAGAGTCAGACCCCAGGGTGACTTTTCACGTTCTCTGTGGTTACTGTGTCCACCGGCGGTGTGTCTGTGGAGCCTCTACCTCTAACATTCATAGCAGGCAGTGCTGCTTCCAGCTGTTTTGAAAAGAGTGACTTGGCCGGGCATGGTGGCACACACCTGTAATCCCAGCTACTCAGGAGACAGGCAGGAGAATCGCTTGAACACAGGAGGTGGAGTTTGCAGTAAGCTGGGTTTGCGCCACTGCACTCCAGCTTTGGTGACAGAGTAAAACTCCATCTCAAAAAAAAGAGAAATGTGTCATAAATTATAATGTTCCTTAATTACAGCTCAGTGTAACTTGGTACTTTCTTCTGTCCGTAAAAAACGAGAGAGAACCAAAAAATTGTATAGATAGATAGGGAACCAAAAAATTATATATGGATACATTTATATACTACAAATGCAATACAAATGAAATACGGAAAAGATCATTTCCTCTTTGGTATAAAAACCAGACTCTCACCTTGCGAGACACACAGACAGACATGATGCTGGGTTTCTGAACTGAGAACACTTGACTTTGGGTAGAATTTGCCAGAGAGTGACTGCCAGCCTCAGAACTGGGCACGTGCTACATCGCGGTGCCTGGAAGCTGCCTCTGTTCCGTCCTGTTCTGGGGCTCTTGCCTCCTCCACCTGCAAGCCTGGGTCTCATGTCCCCAGGGTGCTTCCAGCCCTGCCCTCTTCAGAGAAAGCAGTTCCTTCCCTTGGAGGGCTTGGTGCCAGCACTCTTCCTTCGGGCTGCCACCACCCTGGAACCATAACTTAGTCCCTCTCCACCCCGACCCAGGGTTCTCGGGGGGAGCAGGACTGCCACCACCACTCACCGCTAGTTGCACAAATATCTGAGGGGTTATTATTGTCACAGAGATTGGGGACACTGCTGGCTGGCATTGGAAGGACTCGTCATCTATTTATGGAAATAAATGCACGTGTGCCTTCACCAGCCTGTGTTTTCAGCTGCCTTGTTTGTGAAAACATCTGACCATTTCATGCTGTCTTGTTAGGTTCAGAGCCGTGCTTTTGATGTGGTGTAGAAAAGCCTCCTTGGGCCAGGCGCGGTGGTTCACGCCTGTAATCCAACACTGTGGGAGGCCGAGGCAAGTGGATCATGAGGTCAGGAGATCGAGACCATCCTGGCCAACACAGTGAAACCCTGTCTCTACTAAACATACAAAAAAATTAGCTGGGAATGGTGGCATATGCCTGTAATCCCAGCTACTCAGGAGGGTGAGGCAGGAGAATCCCTTGAACCCAGGAGGCAGAGGTTGCAGTGAACCAAGATCGCACCACTGCACTCCAGCCTGGGCGACAGAGTGAGACTGTGTCTCAAAAAAGAAACCAGGAATGCTTCATTGGACTTCCAGCCTAGCACTGCCAGACCCAGGATCCCTGCCTGTCTTCCTCCTGATGTTCGTTTTTCTGGACTGACTTATCAAGGCTCTTGACTTAATGATTTCTCACCCAGCCCTCATCTTGTCCAGCTCTGTTCCCGGAGGATGTGGCCCAGCTAGTGTCTGCCCAAAGCCAGGAATATGATTTCAGTACTGTGAGCTAAGCCGCGGCGGGTTTGTGATCATTCGCTCATCATGTAAAGGAACTGCAGCCGCAGAAGGAAGGCCTGGCCCCATGGGAAGTTTTGGGAAGAGCAGGTGGGTTCAAACAACCCAGCAGGTGCCTCCTCAGCAGTTAGAAGCAGAGGCCACCACGTCGTCCGCGTGGGGTTTCAGATCCCAGCTCCCCACCAGCCTGCTGGACCTTGGGCAGGTCACTCCCTGTTTGTACCTCCATTACTCCTTCAGTAAGATGGGGACAGTGAAGGTGACCATGCCTCCCACCAGATTGGTGCTTTTTTTTTTTTTTTTAAAGGGACAGGGTCTCACTATGTTGTCCGAGTTGGCCCCAAGCTCTTGGCCTCACGCAGTTTTCCTGCCTCAGCCTCCCAAAATGCTGGGATGACAGGCGGAGCCGCTGCGCTGGCCCAGACTGGCGCTCTCGAGGGTTAAATGAGCACATCCTGTAGAGCGCTCAGGAGAGGGCTGGGGCCTGGGAGCCCTTGGAAGCTATGTTGTTGTCATTTACCTTTTTCCTCAGACTTTCAAAGCATTTTCGGCTGTGAAACTCCCTGGGCTGCCGCAGTAAAGTGTGGGGTCTTAACAGGCGCTGTTGGCCACAGGAAGGTACCTTCCCGCTCCAGGCCAGGAGAGCTGAGGTAAGGCTTGACTGTAGGCTGTTTTGTTCTGTTTTGTTTTGTTTTAACCTCTTCATTTGCACGATTTGGGCCACTCACAAGAGTGTATACCCCATGATAAACAGTTACCTTCATTCTCCTCTGCATGTATGTCTTCAGAGGAAGAAATGTATTAATTGCCCAGAGTAATATATTGTGTTAAGATGTGATATGTACTGGGAAAAAAAAAAGTGTAAGTTGACATTCCTGGAATAAACCACTTTGATGCCCAGTTACTGACTCATTTTTCTGTGTGGTGTCTCTCCTGGGTGCAGAAGTCCGGCTTCCCCACAGGGGCTGGGGGTGCCTTCTCTGTCCTTGGAATATGAGTCTGGGCAAGCAGCCACTGCCCGTGTGCATGGTTCCTCAGAGAATCAGTTCAGTCTTGGTTTGGGAGTTTGATTGGAAGGATTAGATCCTCGCCACCCCCCCTGCCCAGCAGTAACATCTTATTATAGTGTGGAAAATGGACAGAGCTGTTGATACTCAGGAGAGCTTTCCTCATTATCACCCCAAGGAAGGTCCCTAAGTCCCCAAGAGATCACCTTTGTTGGTCTGCGCCTCCCAGGAGGCGGAGGTTACAGTGAGCCAAGATCACGCCACTGCACTGCAGCCTGGGTGACAGCAAGAATCTGTCTCAAAAAGAAAAAAAAAAAAAATCACAATGGGACCCGCAAGCCCTGTATCAGAAAAGGTATAGAAATTGAACTAAAGAATAGTTGACAAGTCAAGATTTTGAACTTCTCTCTTCGTCCACTAGAGGATGTAATCCTACACCAGACTGTTCTCTGTTGTAACTTGGTGCAGAATTTGGCTTTTGGGTTTCTTTGTTTTGATTTTGATTTTGTAATTTACCCAAGACTTTCTGACACCAAAAAGTTACGCAGAAGATTCATCTGCCGGGCTGGGCTCTTAGGAATCTGTCCAGGTGCCCCAGTGGAATCAGCCCGAGTGTCTTCGTTCCTGATAAGTGCTTTCCTGGGAAGCATTTAGCACATCCTGAACCAAGCACAGGCACCGAATGTGGAGGTAAGAGCATGTTCTAATATATTTCTGCATTCTGATGGACTCCCAGTGCCAGCTGCTGGGAACATCGGGAAAGAGTTTCTTTGTAAGGAATCCAGTGTAACATTACCGGTATTTGAAGTCCCAGACAGTGTGCATTGAGAGTTTAAAAGTGTCTCTGGCAGGAACGTTCGTTGCTCATACTTGAAATTGAAAGGTACCTATCAAGACCAAAGTTTGCACAAAGCCAGCACAGTTAAGATTGCTGATTGTTAGCTGGTGGGAAAGTGAAAGTGGACTTGCTGGGCGGAGAATGACCATTCTGAAAGTGTAATCTTAAATAGAGTCCTGTATGTTCTCTGGCTTATTAGCCTGGTTCACAGCTTTCTGATGGTTTTAGTTGAACAAGTACTGCTGGCTCCATTGAACTATAGCCAGAAGCAAAACCGACTCCCTCGTCGCAGAGAACTTACTTCCAGGACAAGGGAGACAGAAGCAGGTCATTAGAATATGCAGGATAAGGCCGGATGTGGTGGCTCACACCTGGAATCCCAGCATTTTGGGAGGCTGAGGTTGGCGGATCACCTGAGGTCAGGAGTTCAAGACCAGCCTTACCAACATGAATAAACCCTGTCTCTATTAAAAATACGAAATTAGCCGGGCATGGTGGAGCATACCTGTAATCCCAGCTACTCGGGAGGTGGAGGCAGGAGAATCACTTGAGTGAGACTGTCTCAAATTGGGAGGATCCCAGGTCCCTGAATGGGGTCACTATCTTTTTGGCTCCTATGAAGCCACATGTCCTGCAATGAGTGATACTTGGAAGAGTTCTGGTATACACTGTTCACGTAAAGATCGTGTATCCTTCACTGCGGTGGTGAAGCTGGAGACCGTCTTTCTCTGTGCCAAGGATCTGTCCTCTTCCAGTGCCCACCTCATTCATGGAGCTCACCCCGTGACTCTGGAATTGTTTGTTTCCTGGCCTCTGCCCTGGCTTCCCTGAACACTACCTCTACACTAGCTTCTTGAGGCTGGGAGCCCTGGACTTACCTGATTTTTCAACAGAGTAGATGTTTTTTTTTTTCATCTATATCAGTATTTAAATTGCTATCAACAAGACCACAAAGACTACATTCTCACAGAAGCCTGCTTGGGTTTTATGTGGTTACATGTGATGAATATATTTAAAATGATTGTTCTGATTTTTTTTTTCAGATCAATTATGCAGCTACAGCCAAAACCAAGCTCTCTTTATTGCAATGGTAATGAAAGTAGCTCCATGTAAGTCATTGGAAGGTCACGTGTTCACAGACTGTCAGCTGTGGAGGGTTATGTAACAGTGGTTATGCAATGCCATGTTAGAACTGCAGCCCCAGCAGCAAAACATTTCGTTATTTTCTTGAATTAAAATAAGACTTCCACTTTCTTTGAGTGACAAATCGCTTTTAACAAAACCAAGACTTGGGTTTTAGTGTTCACTCCCACGCGAGTCTCTGTAAGCCACATTTCACCTCCTGTGCGTGGCTGGTCCCATTGAGTAGATTTCTGAAAGTAAAATTTCTGACATGAGCCTATTCACTCTGCTCAGTTGTCATCTTCTGTCAGGATGAGTTATGGGCAAATCCCCCCATGAAATCTACGGCACATCATGAAGCCCCTCAAATCTGAAGGGCTTGCTGGTATGATGGCTCACGCCTGTAATCCCAGAACTTTGGAAGGCCGAGGTGGGTGGATCTCTTAAGGTCAGGAGTTTGAGACCAGCCTGGCCAACATGGTGAGACCTCGTCTCTACTAAAAATAGAAAAATTAGCCTGGCCTGGTGGCACATGCCTATAATCCCAGCTACTCAGGAGGTCAGGGCAAGAGAATCACTTGAACCCAGGAGGTGGAGGTTGCAGTGAGCCAAGATCACCCCACTGCATTCCAGCCTGGGTGACAGAGTGAGACTCAAAAAAAAAAAAAAAAACCCTAAGGCTCATGAGTCTCCTTCACTAATGTACTGTCTTTGTTCCAAGATACTTCACCCCTTTAAAAGTTAATAGGGGAGATCAAGAGGAGATATTGAGAGATCAAAATGAAATAAAGCCTTCACTTCCTCTGACTGGGTGTTTTTTTTGTTTTGTTTTGTTTTTTTAACATGCCCCAACATTATAACAAAAATATTTCTTCTGGTTTAATTTTTTTTTCCCAAAGTAATACATGCATTACTTGAAAAAATTCATACAACTAAAAGGCTTCTAGGAGTGGGCTAAGCTTCCCTGCCCGGGCGCTCCCGGCGGACGCCGCTTTCCATTCCCTCAGCTTTGCCAGCTTTGTTTCGGAGGAGCGGGCATGCTGCACTGCTTCTCTTTGAGTCATCTTGGTCCTCGCCGGTTGACTTCCTTACTGGTAGATGTGGACCGAGCTCTTCCTCATCACCCTCTGCTTCCCCTTCCGCACCCTGCCCGCACCATTGTCCCTGTACATGCAGTGTTTACATTAGTGTGCGTGCACAGAAGCTTCCTATGGCCTCGTACGCCAGTTCCAACTCTGCAGTGTTGTTTTCCCTGTTAATTTCCCCTTCCTTAGCTGGCTTTTTCTTTCTTTCTGTTTTTTTTTTTTTTTTTTTTTT